CGTGGATTCAGAGGATGAAACAATTGGGTCAGAGAACATGGGCCAGTTATGCACTGACCTACACTTTTGTTTTATGACTTGATGATGTATACTAGGTTAGGGAGAGATAGCTAGTCAGACTTCATGAACTGACCCTGCTTGTTGGTGGTCAGGGAAAGGAAGGCAAAAAACACAGAGCTCTGGAAGCTTTATTCATTTATTTGTAATAAAACTGATTCATTTTGACCAAAAACGCCTTCTCCTATTGCTTCATTAAAGAACACGCAGGACCAAGGACTACACATAGTTTAAAAAGTAGACAGGTGTTTGTAGCCAAGGGATCTCGACCAAGCGTCCAGATGTGACGAGTTGGGAGTAAGAACGTGTTGAAATTACAGCTCTAGCCACCCTTTCTGCACGGTCTATCGATACCCTATTGCATCTTCACCTCACATTGCTTCTAGTGATAATCTGAACACATCCGGAGGTAGCAGAAATATTTCAGTAAATCTCGACTCACTCTCTCAAGATGCCATTTACAATTGTTGCAAGCCTGTTCAGGTCCACAGCAGCCAAACCGTTTTCAGTGGACAGGAAGAAGGCCAGAGTTACAGTCATCCAGCACAGGCCAGCCTTTAACAAAAACTATCATTATAAAGAGGATTCAAAACAGGGACAATAATATATGTAAAGTATATGACAGTGTCAAAATGTAAATACAAGTAGGCCTATTTAATCTGCTGCATTTATTATATTTTGGTGTCACATTTACATGTAATATATAACTGTGCATGAAAGACACCTTGAAGTTGTAGTTCTGTCTTTGATGTTCAGTAGGACTACAGTAAATCTTTGATATTTAACATTTTATTTTTAAAAGTGTAGAGGAATTAGGTAGCAGTTGTTAAGGCCAACATTTACAAACCTTTCCTGAAAATCTCCACACACTTACTGTTTGAACAGAGATGTGATTGCTTAGCTTACAGAAAAGTAAGAACAAACTACATAGTCAACCCAGAGTCACAATGTCAAACTGTATCCAAACCACAGCATAATATTTTTCTTCACCGAAGATATGCGAATTCACTTTGCTGTCTGTTACTCTCATAAGTTGTGACTACAAATTCTAAGCAGGTTATGAGTGGGTAGGTGTGTTTACACAGGACAAATGACGGAAGAAAATATAGTCAGAATGCAGACTAGAAAACATTTGCACTATTCCTACTATACCTTGCAATTAGTGTTCAAACTAGTCAATATTGTACTTAACTTTTCAGTTAAATGCACCGTAGGTTTATTGTCATCGTTTTCATTAGGGTTTTTGGGGGGTTGAATTATTTTTGTAGATGTGGCTCGAGCCTCCAGTTTCTTTATGCAATGCATTTTGGGACAATAGTGTCCATCAAGTTTTGAATACTTATTTTGTCTCTTTTTATGTGTGAACTAGGACTGTGGCTGGGTGCATATAGAAAAATGTAAAGATCTCTAGATGACAGGTCAGCCACAACCACTCTTGGCTTCCACAATGCTTAATGCTTTATTAACTTTTTTGGGAAACAAGATTTTTTACAAAGTTTCAGGAGAGATTAGACTCCAAAAAAGGACCTGTGATTGTATAAGTAGAGTTATAATTTGCACTTGCTAATTTCCTTATTTGAACATGATGTAATGTCTCGTAAACTCTGGTTGACCCAACTTAATTTATAACATGGTGAGTTTTCAGTTTTATTGCTTACATCAAATGATGCCTCACAATATATGTAAGAGACTGAACCAGACAGGACATGTGGTGAAAACCAAAACTAATACTTTAATGTATAGTTTTTCTCTTCTTTCATAGATATTGTAATTCAAAGTGTTTTTTTTTATGCACATTGTGTACTGTTGCTTAATCCTCAGAAAGGTCCTTCGCTTTGTGGAGGAAGTGTTTTGTGTTTCTCACAGTAAAACCACCTCTTCACTCTGACTTGCAGGCTGAGGATGGAGATACAGAAAATGACTCCCTTCTACACTTCTGCTATGAGGTTAAAAAAGAGGAAGCGCCAGGAAACACAGTTAACAGCACAAACAGATGTGAACAGTGCACAGTAAAGGTTAAAAGTGCACGTGGATATTTTATTGATACATTTTTTTCTCACCAACAAAATTATGAATAATGTGTTTTGAAAAATTTGTAAATTTCTTCTTCTAGCTAATTTTCTTTGATTTCAGGCAGAATAGTTTGGTAAGATTTTAGATTTTTTTCCGGTCAGTCTCAGTGTTTATTGTAGGGTAATTTAGTGTGTTCTTATATTGTACAGTAAGTAGGTAAGCACTTTGTAACATTGTTTTGAAAAGTGCTCAATAAATAAAGATTATTATTATTGTTACTATAGTGACATTTGTGTGCAGTACACTGTTAATCACAGTGAGGAAGGAAAGGTTCGGTTAAATTATGGAATATAAAAGATCTTTATTTGGGAGTAAGATTTGTTGTGGAACAGATAAACACACTGTTATTAAATGATTGACATACAGATAGAAGAGAATAAACGCTGAGCCAAGCTTTAATTAGACAGTAGCAGAAGTATAGGGTACAACGTCATGAGAATATAATGCAGTAATCAGTAGCTTATTATTGTTTTTAGCCCATTTTTTTGGACAACGCAGAGGTTCCTTCTATATTTACATTGCATTGCAGGCTTATTGTGCAAATAAACCTTTCTCATAGCATTTTTATTTGTAAATTAACATTTCTTCGTGCAAGATATTTTTCAGAACAAATGCTTTCAAAAAGTGGTGGCTACATGTCCCCAGTGTAAATGACCCTCCCTCCCTACAGGTTGAGCTACTCATGCTTACCGCTTCACCTCCACTCTCCTCCTGCTCACTTTCCAAGCCACCCAAGCCTACTCCTCTGCCTGGCTGTGGCTACAGGTCTCCTTTACTCCTTCAAGTGCCTGTGCCTGCATTACGTAAAGTAGTGCATTTACATTTATTCATTTTAGCTGATGCTTTTACCTGACTACAATTGCTATACATGTCAGAAGTCGCACGCCTCTGGAGCAACAAGGGGTTAAGTGTCTTGCTCAGGGACACAATGGTGGATGTCTCACAGTGGGGAACACCAAAGGCAGCATCTTGCATCTATGCGCCATCACCACCCCCTCCTCATAGTAAGAAATGTGATTGGGCCAGCCCAATGTCAGTATAGAAAATTACCCAGTGGCCCGCTGTTTGTGCTCTATGGGCCGATTGTTGTCCCATTTTTTAAAAACAATTATATAAATAAATCATTTACGTTGCACCGGTTCGTTGGCATGGTATACTAGATTAGCAGTACAGTGAATGAATAGCAAATATAGTGTAATTTTTTTCCTTTCTCTTTCATTTTCCAGTATTTAGTTTAATGATAAAATTAATTGAGTGAAAATTAAAAGTTATCTCCCCACACACAATAAAAGAGGCATTTTAACGCTGAAGGCTTTTAACTTTTGTAAATCATCACAGTGGCTGGAGCTATTTGTTTCTTCTGTATACCACAGACACCGCTGTGGCAGGAAACGTTCCCAATGCTCCTCATTTTGTTTAACCGTCTGAAAGGAGCACCTACAGGGCTTCTTATGCAGCTTTTCTACAACATGAATGAGTGATTGCATCCTTAAAGGCTGGGTATCAAACCATGATATCTTTAAGCACTTTGAAGATTTTTTTTTTTGTCCTTGGATCAGATTTAAGTTGTTTTTTATCCCCAAACTTGAAATTTTAATTACTTTGGTCCTTGTCGCTGCTAACTCTACTGACTGTCCTGAACAATACTCTGACATAAATGGGAGTCATTAAATCGGGGTTAGCATAGAATGAAAAGAAACAAGTGCATTTAAATCATAAGGAATCTTTTTATCTCAGTAGCTGGAGGTTCGTGGGACTGCTGTGGATCTGAGCTCACGTTCTAACAGATCTACAGGGACATGCACAGAGATTTGAGACAGAGTGGTACACATCAGTACTGTACTTAAGTATAATGTTGAAGTACTTTAAATAAGTATTTGTGTTGGATTGAACTTTACTTCTACATTTCAGGGGAAAATTTAATACTATTTATCGCACTATATTTATCTATTGTGATTAATTTGCTGGGTAAGATTATGTATTTAAAACAGTTTATTATCTTGTAAAATGCCCTGCGATGGACTGGCGACCTGTCCAGGGTGTACCCTGCCTCCTGCCCATGTCGGCCTTGACTGGCTCCAGCCCCCCTCGACCCTGTGCGCAGGATAAGCGGTTGGCAATGGATGGATGGATTATCTTGTAAAATATGAAGTATTGTTATTGTGATTTTTACATTTAATACTTTAAGTAGGCTATACTTTGCAGATAATATATTGTATTTGCACCCAGTCTAATGGGAATCCAGCCAGCTGTGGCCAGAGGTCCGAGTGATATCTTTCAATCCAGTGACACTATATTTTTCCTCCTTCCAAAAACTACTTTAAAGTTACCCTTAAAGTTAATTTTGAAAGTAAGAGTTTTGTTTTGTAATTGAGTGTTTTTACACTGTGGTATTTAAAAAAACCCTGCTCTTCAACACTCTTAGGTCAAAACTCCACCCGGTGCTTTTCAGTACACAATATGAATACTTTTTCCTTAACTTGTTGCCGAATGAGCAGAAATGTTGCTGAACAGGAGCTATTAAAGTCAAGGGGTTTCTAATTGAATTAAAATTAATTAAGCTAATTTACCATTGAGCCACATGCATATTTCAAATGACTTTAGGCTACTTCAGGCATGCCCATTAATAATATCACTGTTCATTATTAGCAGTAGCAATTATAAAAATGATTTATCTGTGAAGTAGGTATAAGGTTCAGTTCACAAATGGCATAAAAGGTAGCAACAGAAAATGAGACAGTTGATGAAGTTGCTGTGCCTTTTCTTGTGGGTAGATGCAAGTAGAGGCCATTCACTACTTTATAGATGTACTTTGGGTAGGCAGCGGGAGGTGAAAACTTGAAAAGATTTCTGGGCTGGGCTAAGCTCCAAATGTTTCAAAAGCCTGGAAACGCCCCTGGTTGGAGGTTGGAAATTTCCCATTTCCAAGTTGCCTGTAACGCAGCATAACTCTTCACACTTCGGATCTCTGTTTTTCTTCTTGACAAGTAACAAGTGTAAGTATGTTTTATTTCTCTTGTTCCTGTTGTATTCTGGCCAAATGCTTGTGACTATACATTTAGCCAGGCGCCACGTCTCTAGTGCCCTCCTGCAGGCTGTATAACTTAACTTCATGCCAGAACAATGGCAGGGGAGACGGGGAGCACAGGAAATGCGCACTTTGGCTGCGGGTACATATAGTAAACAAAATATTGTACATTTTTGTTCAGGTGTCTCTATCCATCCACCTAACACACAAATAAAACGTGCAGTATAAATAGGCCTAAAAGAAAAAGAGAGAAGACGGCTAAATAGAAACTGAAACTCAACTTTTTTTAAAGCAATTTACTTGAATGAATACGACCCTATTGATAAGATTATCAGCAAAATTCAGGTAGGCTTCATGTAGCCTACAATAATGTAATTTAATTATCCAGATGGAGGCAATATGTGATGCATCACTCAAACTTGAGAGAAGATGGCCTGTCAACGTTGGTGTGTTTTAACTATTTAAAACTAATCTAATTATCTGGATTAAATCTACACAAAAAAATGTCTGTAAATGCACAGACAGGTCTGGTTCTAAGTTTTATCCAACTTATGTCTCTCTGGCAAAATTTATGCTTTATTCAAGATCTTTTGTTTCGCATATGCATTGTTAAATTAAACACACACCCTGCTCTTCCTGTAGTGATGTGTACAGATATTATAAACGCAACAGTTCATTTTGCCCCATTCCTCATGAGCTGAACAAAAGGCCTATTTCTCTCAAATATTGTTCACGGAACATACACACTGCAGCACATCCTGTAGTGTGAGCATGTGAAACAATTTCTTAAAGAGGGAAAAAAAATCCCAACTTGGGATCAAACTCACAACCTTCTATTATGCCTTATATTTTGATCCACCATCTAATGGGTAAAAAAATGCTGCGATGCAAAACCTATTTTGCAGACCCCTGCTGTATCGTATTGAACGTAGTGATTAGCGTCTAAAATGTACTCTGTAGAGCGTTTGTCCATTTGGGCTAATGTAGAAACATGGTGGCGCAACACGGCGACTTCCATGTAAGGCATGTATGACCTGCGGATATGTAAATAGAAATGGTTCATTTAAAGGTAATAAAAACATAATGGTTCATTATGTTAGGTCTTTATACACCCACACCCCCCAAACACACAGACACACACACACACACTTCACTGTGAAGCGCTTTGAGTTTCCATGATAAAGCGCTATAAAAATGTAATGCATTATTATTTTATTATTATTCATCCATTTCTGTCAATAGATCCTCGGAAATATTACACACTGGACCTTTAAAATAGGCCTATCTAAAGTAAAAGTACCCATTAAGCATAATAGTCCCTTCTAGTGTTTTTTTTTTTAACTCTAAAATAATTATGTCACATGAAGTAAAGCTTTTCATCTATAATAATGAAAAATATTTATTTATAAACTATTCATAATGTTTTATGTAAATCAAAGTAACTAATAGCTATGGCTGTTAAGTACTAACTGTAGTGGACTAAGTAGACTACTTTCCATCACTGATTACCAAAATGTAGGTGACCAACAGTGAATATAACTTGGCATTCATTCAGACTCACATCATATTGTTGACCTTTGCACCACATGATGGCGACAAAGCATCATGGCAAATAGGTGAACACAACTAATGTACTGAGATACTTCAGCAAAAGGGACATTAACATGTGGGACATTATAAAATCACTGCTGTTGAAAATACCAGCTATTTGCCCCTAAAATAACCCAATATACCCAAAATGAATCAGGATTAATAATATCTTTTCAATATTGACAATAAGTGAAAACATTGCTGACTTTTTCCAGACGGCTTGTTTCTGTTTTAGCATTACTTTATAAAATCAAGTACATACAAACTACTTGGTTAAAATCTAAATGTGAATGTAGAACACAATTAAATGCTCCGTACTTGTATAGCGCCTTTCTAGTCTTTTCGACCACTCAAAGCGCTTTTACACTACATCTGCATTCACCAGTCACACACATTCATACACTGAGCCTAAGTGCTCCAACAGAAACTAACATCCACACTCACTCATACACTGGCGGAATAGCCACCAGGGGCAATTCGGGGTTCAGTATCTTGCCCAAGGACACTTCGACACGCAACCAGGGGGAGCCAGGGATTGAACCGCCGACCTTCCGATTAACGGCCAACCCGCTCTACCTCCTGAGCCACAGCCGCCCCCAATTACTGTATTTAATGTTTAAAGATAAATGCATTAATGTGTGAACACCTGCAGACGAAATACTATAGACATATTGTAATGTACCTGTTCTGTATGATGGTGTTGTTTTTATAAAATGGTCAATCTTCCCATTAATTTTTTTATTGGATTTTTAACACAGACAATCATGCAAAAATTAACTAAAACATGACTTCAACTCACAAAAAATAAACAATAAATAAACATAACAACAACATAAAAAATACCTCAACTTCACAAAAAAGAAAACCACACCCACTTAGACTCCAGCGACCTAAGGCAGGGCCCCCAAACCTCTAGAAACTGATCCGACCTGGAGTGGAGGATACCAGTGAGATACTCCAACGGAATTAATTGTAACTCTAGAACTCTATTCAGGGCTGGAATCCACTGCAATAATATGTTTTGTCTGGTAGCGAATGTCAACATATTATACAGTCGCTTGTTAGTTGCCATAGTTACAGTATGTATGTTGAAGTCCCAATACCAGTGTGACACTGGGTCCATTTCCAATTGGGTACCCAGAATTCTCCCAATTTCCCTCAGCCCTCTGACCAGGATTTCTGCAGTTTGACATGTGACCATAAGCAATGAGTCAGTGTTCCCATCTTCGCTTTACATTTAAGACAACGGTGAAAGGGAAGGGTTAAAGAAGTGTCTGCGATTAGGAGATATATGTATTCTTTGAATAATTTTAAACTGTATAGCCTTCATTCAGGAAGTTTTTCCTTGCCTCTGTCGCCTAGTGCTTGCTCTTGGTGGGAACTGTTGGGCTTCTGTAAATATCATCACAGAGTACGGTCTAGACCTGCTCTTCTATGAAAAGCGCTGTGAGATAACTGTTGTTGTGATTTGGCGCTATATACAGTGGGTACGAAAAGTATTCAGACCCCTTTAAATTTGTCACTCTTTGTTTCATTGCAGCCATTTTCCAAAAATCAAAAAAGTTCATTTTATTTCTCAGTAATGTACACTCAGCACCCCATCTTGACAGAAAAAAACTGAAATGTAGAAATTTTTGCAAATTTATTAAAAAAGAAAAACTGAAATATCAAAATTGCTCAGTATTTAGTAGAAGCACCCTTTTGATCTAATACAGCCATGAGTCGTTTTGGGAAAGATGCAACAAGTTTTTCACATCTGGATTTGGGTATCCTCTGCCATTCCTCCTTGCAGATCCTCTCCAGTTCTGTCAGGTTGGATGGTAAACGTTGGTGGACAGCCATTTTCAGGTCTCTCCAGAGATGCTCAATTGGGTTTAAGTCAGGGCTCTGGCTGGGCCATTCAAGAACAGCCACGGAGTTGTTGTGAAGCCACTCTTTCGTTATTTTAGCGGTGTGCTTAGGGTCATTGTCTTGTTGGAAGGTAAACCTTCGGCCCAGTCTGAGGTCCAGAGCACTCTGGAAAAGGTTTTCGTCCAGGATATCCCTGTACTTGGCCGCATTCATCTTTCCCTCGATTGCAACCAGTCGTCCTGTCCCTGCAGCTGAAAAACACCCCCACAGAATGATGCTGCCACCACCATGCTTCACTGTTGAGACTGTATTGGACAGGTGATGAGCAGTGCCTGGTGTTCTCCACACATACCGCTTAGAATTAAGGCCAAAAAGTTCTATCTTGGTCTCATCAGACCAGAGGATCTTATTTATCACCATCTTGGAGTCCTTCAGGTGTTTTTTAGCAAACTCCATGCGGGCTTTCATGTGTCTTGCACTGAGGAGAGGCTTCCGTCGGGCCACTCTGCCATAAAGCCCCGACTGGTGGATTGCTGCAGTGATGGTTGACTTACTACAACTTTCTCCCATCTCCCGACTGCATCTCTGGAGCTCAGCCACAGTGACCTTTGGGTTCTTCTTTACCTCTCTCACCAAGGCTCTTCTCCCCCGATAGCTCAGTTTGGCCGGACGGCCAGCTCTAGGAAGGGTTCTGGTCGTCCCAAACGTCTTCCATTTGAGGATTATGGAGGCCACTGTGCTCTTAGGAACCTTAAGTGCAGCAGAAATTTTTTTGTAACCTTGGCCAGATCTGTGCCTTGCCACAATTCTGTCTCTGAGCTCTTCAGGCAGTTCCTTTGACCTCATGATTCTCATTTGCTCTGACATGCACTGTGAGCTGTAAGGTCTTATATAGACAGGTGTGTGGCTTTCCTAATCAAGTCCAATCAGTATAATCAAACACAGCTGGACTCAAATGAAGGTGTAGAACCATCTCAAGGATGATCAGAAGAAATAGACAGCACCTGAGTTAAATATGAGTGTCACGGCAAAGGGTCTGAATACTTATGACCATGTGATATTTCAGTTTTTCTTTTTTAATAAATTTGCTAAAATTTCTACATTTCTGTTTTTTTCTGTCAAGATGGGGTGCTGAGTGTACATTACTGAGAAATAAAATGAACTTTTTTGATTTTTGGAAAATGGCTGCAATGAAACAAAGAGTGAAAAATTTAAAGGGTTCTGAATACTTTCCGTACCCACTGTAAATAAAATTGAAATTGAAATTGAATTGAAATTGATATCTTGTTAGCATGATTCCAAATCTTTTCCATGGTCCCATCATTAATAGTAGTTGACAATTCCTTTCCCCATACCCTTTAACCATCTGTGTGTTAGCAGGCAATAACCTCCACCTAACATCATGTACCAGACTAAGAGACACTTTGGTTGTCAAGGTCATATATGTGCTCCAGCAATCCGGCCACCTGTCTCTCCAGCTTGGCTACCCTGACTTGTAGCGATCCGGTGGTGGTCTCTACATCAGCAAATCTCCCCTCTGCTTCACCTACAGAGCCGCTTGGTCCTCCGCGGTCGGTAGAACTCTCTCGACTTCGGTGTCAACAGCGTTGATGCTCTTGTCCACAATGTCAAGACTGGACAAGAATATTCGAGCTGGCGTCGGCGCTAGTATCCTTGCAGCTAGCCCCATCCATTTCATTAGTGGCCTGCTGTCCTTCACAGTCTTGGTTGACTTATTCTTTCTTGTTTTCTTCATTTAATCAGGGACTTAAAAAAAATTTTGTCAAGGGACTTAGCTGAGTCACTCTTGTTATTAGTTATAGGATCTTCGCCAAGCAGGTGTGGAAATCAGGCAAATAACAGTCATTACGGTCAGAGCTCGGTGCAACAGGTGCTCACTTTATGCCACTATCTTTTCCCCTCTCCATAAAACGCTCAATCAGTAAACCTGATCTTTGTGCAGATGGCTGACCTGTTCCTGATGGCAGTGCTGCTGGTTGTCTGCCTGTTGCTGTGGGTTTTGAACAAAAAAAGGCATGCTGTGGACCCACACATGCTTGCTGCAATTATAAATGGAATCTTGAGAGAGTGAGTTGACTTCTTCTTCATTCATTCTGACTTTTGAGAAAAACATACAACGATCTCTCTTCACACCGTTGATTTATCTTTGTTAAACTGAGGAGGTGTTCTTATTGTACAAGCCAGTAAAGTAGTAATCATCAAACATGCAGAAAACTACGATGTCATGATTACTCATTTAAGAAAGAAAAGTGACCTAGTGGAAGTGAGGCTAACTTGATGAGTCTGTTCAAGTGTTACTGGATGTTTATAAAACACTTTGGTCTGAGAGAATCCAGTATCAAGTACATAGCACACGGATAGATTGGAGGATTGGTGTGCATTCCCAGCATATACACAAATTTGGGTTTAGAAAGATCAGATTAGATTTGACTTTGCTCACAGTATCATGTGCTGACCCTTTCTGCAAGTGCCACTTCTTCTTGTTCTAAAGTTTTAGGTGTGTACATATGCAAAAACAATGTCGGACACCGTAGTTTTCTCTGGACCCCTGCCAAATCTGACCAGCGATGACATGTATAGCCGCATGTCGTCATTCCGCCGCTGGTTGTCGAGGTGGTGTCCAGCAAACGACTTTCTGGGGAAGACCTGGTCTGATTCGGAGAGACGGCATCCATCCCACTTGGAAAGGAGCAGCTCTCATTTCTAGAAATCTGGCCAAGTTTATTAGTTGTCCAAATCCATAACAACCCAGAGTTGAGACCAGGAGGCAGAGTCGCAGTCTAACACACTTCTCTGCCCTTCTAATTCAACAGTTACCCACCCAAAACCCTACGCAGAGTCGCAGTCTAACACACTTCTCTGCTCCTCCATTTCAGGAGTTACTTAGTGAAAATCCTATAGTGACGGTGTCTGCCCCCCGACCATCGAAATTATTTAAATCAAAGGTAAACAGAAGAGGAGCTGTACATAAAAACCTCAAAAATTAAAACCACAATGCATGCCAAAGTTAGTCATGGAGTTCCACAAGGATCTGTCCTCGGACCAATCCTCTTCACTTTATATATGCTTCCTTTAGGCAATATTATCAGGAAATATTCCATAAGCTTTCATTGTTATGCAGATGATACTCAGTTATATCTATCGATCAAACCAGATGAAACTCATCAGTTAGCTAAACTTCAAATGTGCCTTCAGGATGTTAAAACCTGGATGACCTGTAATTTTCTAATGTTAAACTCACATAAAACTGAAGTTATTGTTCTGGGGCCTAAGCATCTCCGTGACGCATTATCTAAAGATATAGTTTCCCTTGATGGCATTGCCCTGGCCTCCAGCACCACTGTGAGGAATCTTGGAGTTATCTTTGATCAGGACATGTCGTTTAAGTCTCACAGCAAATTTCAAGGACCGCCTTTTTCCACCTACGTAATATTGCAAAAATCAGGAACATCCTGTCTAAAAATGATGCAGAAAAACTAGTCCATGCATTTGTTACTTCTAGGATGGATTACTGCAATTCCTCATTATCAGGCTGCTCGAAAAAGTCCATTAAGACTCTTCAGCTGATTCAGAATGCTGCAGCTCGTGTTCTGACAGGAACCAGGAAAAGAGATCATATTTTTCCTGTTTTAGCTTCTTTGCATTGGCTTCCAGTAAAATCCAGAATAGAATTTAAAATCATTCTTCTTACCTACAAAGCTCTTAATGGTCAGGCACCATCTTATCTTAAAGAGCTCATAGTACCTTACTACCCCACCAGAGCACTGCGCTCCCAGAATGCAGGGTTACTTGTGGTTCCTAGAGTCTCCAAAGTAGAATGGGAGCCAGAGCGTTCAGCTATCAAGCTCCTCTTCTGTGGAACCAGGTTCCAGTTTGGGTTCAGGAGGCAGACACCATCTCCACATTTAAGAGTAGGCTTAAGACTTTCCTCTTTGATAAAGCTTATAGTTAGGGCTGGCTCAGGTGAGTCCTGAACCATCCTTAGTTATGCTGCTATAGGCCTAGACTGCCGGGGGATTTTCTATGATGCACTGAGCTCCTCTCTCCTCTACTTTCTCTCCCTCTGTATGCAACCTCATCCCATTATTGCATGTTACTAACACAACTTCTCCCCTTTCTGGTAGTCTTGTGCTTTCTCGTCCCTCTCCTCTCTCCTCCTATAACTTCCTGCAGGTGTTTCTGGGCAGATCTCAGCAAATCTCAGCAGACATCAAGGTTCAGAGGAGTGACTGGCATCGATTAAATAATAGCAGTTTACAGTGGTGGAGGAAATATTCAGTAGTTAAAGTATTAATACCACTCTGTATGTATGTAGAAGTAGAAAGTGGCATGAAAAGTATTTCAAAATTTGCACCTAAAGTACTTGAGTAAATGTACTTTGTATCATTTCACAACTGGTAACGTATCATATAATAATGTAAAATGTTACAGACCGTAGAGACGGTCCAAAACCTACAGATATTTAATTATCAGCAGACAAACAATCCACACAGCTGAGAAGCATTTGTATTTGGAAAATGACTGAAACAATTAATCTGTTATTAAAGAAGTTGCTGATTAACATTGTCAGCTTAATTGATGAACTGACTAATCGTTGCAGCTCTGACCAACTGGTTTCCAAATACCTTTAAAATCCTGTGCTGGCTTTGTGCTGCTTGTCTCAATAAGATAAGATGATAATATAATCTTCAACAGACATTATCAATTCATCCAAAATGTTAATATAAAAGTTTGTAAAATATGACATGATTTGATGTGCCTTATATTTAGTTTGTCTGTTTCTTAGGTATGGAACAGATGGCATGTTCAGTCTGGCTGTAAGGATCCCATTCAAACAGAACCAGAATCTGGACCAGATTCTTCCGCATGTCTTCAGAAGTGATCCTGGTGAATTTGTGAAGAATAATATCAACAATAACCAGGTGTACATCGGCAACAGTGTGGTTGCAGCCAGAGTTCTGCCACGGCCCAATGGAGGAGCTGATCACGCAGAGTCACGTGTTTTGGACTACTTGCACCACTTGATAAACGGGCCTGATAATAATTATCTGTTGCTTTTCTTTGTTTATGCTTTCCCATGTGTTGAAAAATGTTTGACATCATAAGAACATTCTCCAAAGAATACAAATCATCTGTCAATTAAAGAATCGTGCTTTTGTGTTTTCAAAAATATTCAGACCGAGCAATGGTCAGTTGATCAATACTGACCAAGAACGGATTGACGCCCTTCAGCAGCTAGGGACTAAAATCGGTCGGGACAACATTTTCCGATATGAAAGGATGCAGTGCACCAGATGCTTCATTGATGGAGAGGTTGCACCTCATTGTTTTAGCGATAGTTAACAGTCTGCACCCGGCCCTCCAGGGCATCGGGCTCAGTCACAGAGGCAGAAAAGTTCTTGGGACGGCTGTGATTCAGGTCGTACAGATCTGCAGGGACATGAAGAGTACAGTGGCTATGGCAGGTCAAGCCACTGCTGCATCGCCCTCAAACATTATCTTAACTATTAATGCTCCTGCTGTAATATTGTGTTAATAGAACAAAAACATCAGGTGATTGGGGACAACAGGAGACAACCTCAAGAAAAGTCCAGTTTAGAGAGTTACGTGTATAAGTGAAGTTTCTTCTCAACAAACTAGCAGGAGCTGCTTAGGTTGCCATGACATTTGATGAAGATATTTATGGACCCAAGAAGATCAGTTGAACATATCTGTGTCACTATGTAACACGCATCATAATGTTCGCCTAGCGGCTAGTGTTGCATGGCCTCAAAAACACTGGTGGAGAAACACACTGAGGTGCATCACACAAGAAGTGAGATGCCTCACTTGGTAGCTAAAACAGAGCCTTCAGCACCCTAAATAAAATAATGAACCTGACAACAAAGTTGTGCCCTTTGTTTAAAAGAGTCTCTGCTTTTAATACAATCCTCCCACCACATCAGTGTGCGTCTCTGTAGGTTTGGTAGAACCTGACCTCGAATGCACAGCAGTCCCATGAACCCACTGTCAATCCCTATCCAAATTGGATAGTGCAGCAAGATTAATGAGATATCTTCCTCCTTTTTGGACTCTGTGATTCTCTATCCACTGTTTACTTTTTTTCTGATTTGTAAATTATTCTCAGTATTTACAGCTCCTGTCTTATATTCCTGCTGATAATTATATATCTACCAGTGTGTGCTCATGGTCTCCTTCTCTGGCATTATATGGTCCACTAGGACATGCCAAGGTTTGCGTTTGTATGAACATCTGGGAAATTGTTGTGTGTTTTGCCTCTCCCCATGGGAAGTGGAACTTTCAACGCCATTGTATGTGATGGAGCTGTCTCCCTGCTCTAACGCCCAATCCTCACTGCTGCATTTTCAAATTAAAACGGAAGACCTTTTGCTACGTTTGCACCTCCCATCCAGACTAAAGCGGCAAAAACGAAGACCTAAAACAGAGAAGTTTGGAAACGCTGCTGACCCTGTTTTTAACTCCCAGTTATGGCCACTAGATGTGCATTTTCAGTCGTTTGTAACGTAGACAGAGCTCAACTATGAAACGCTGGTGTAGACAGAGATCATATTCATTTTAATTATGTTACTTTATTTGTACCCGTAGGTAGATTTGTTTTCCAGCAAGAATATGGCATCCATTCTGACACACATTATGACACATAACTATGAAAAACATACTACAAACCTAATAAGCAATCAAGGACATGAAAAGCATGCTAGAAACTGACACAGATACTCAAGGTTCCACTGCTCATGATATAAGAGAGATATAGAGCAATGTAACAAAATAAAAAAATTTAAGTTTGGAAACCGTTCCACACTATAATACATAGTATTGCAAATGGTAGGCAAACAGTAATATTGTTTTGTATTTTGTCATCTCTCTCAGCTTTTCCTTCATCTGGTGAGGTTCACCTGTGTCTGTTGAAGGAGATATTTCATAACATATCACTCATTTAGGCATTTTTGTAATATTTGGTCCAGATGAAAATTAGCTTAACAATTATTCTGAAAAGTGCACGTACGGTCCCCAGAAGATGAACCCTGATGATTCTGATGATCCTCTGACCTTGTAGTCAGGGCTGGACTGGTAATCTGGCATACCAGGCAAATGCTGACGCCCCTTTGGGGACTGTGCAATGTAAATTATTTATTTAAATAACTGTTTTGCAGAGACTTAACAGAAACAGCAAACATTTAATACCAGGGACTAACAAGCAGGCGGAAGAAACACAGGTGAGAGGAATCAGGACTAATGAGACAGGCAGGCAGAGAGACAGCAGCGGGGAAACCAGAGAGACAGGCAGGCAGATTACTGGGGGAACAGACACATAGGCACACATACACCACTTTTTTTCAAAAGCTGATGATGTTCAACAAGTGGCTCATTTTATTTGTGTGACTTTCTTTTAGAGGAACGCTTGCTGAAGAGACGGAGCCCCAGCTTCACTGGTGTTGTGCTGAATTGTTCGCATGGGAATTTCAGATAATTTATCACAGTTGATGAACCACACAAAGATTATTTTATAGTTTTTAAATAGCCGGCTACTTGAAATAGACCCGCGAGGAACCGCAACGTGCATGCAGTTGTCGGCAGCACGGAATGCACGTGAAACTCTGCACAGGACCGGTGAATGACAGGCAAGAGAGAGAGAGAGAAAAGGGTCAACAATAAGCCTCAGTTTTACTGGAAATTTATTGTTTAGGAGACTGCAGCTCTGCAGCTTCTCAAGATTAAAGCGGTTCGCAATCGCTGCGCACAAAAACACACATGATTCGACTGTAGGCAGTACTTGACGATTCTAATTCGACTATGTAAATCAGGGACAGCCCTAGTGGCACTGTAACACTAGCAGGCTGAGTTGGATAAAAAAATAACATGCAGTACAGCAAAGGAAAATATCAGATTTTGAAAAGGGTAATTTCTGATACTGGTTAAAATGTGCTTGAATGTGCCCCTGTACTGATCCTTAGGATCTGCTCAGGACATTCTTATAATTTACCTGAGTATGCTTTTACAAGGGAGAAGAGATCTTCTGGGCACTTCTGCCCAATTCTCCTTGCATCTCTCTGGCAACAGCTAGCAAACGATCTGTGTGAGAAACACAAGAAAGGTATAACAATTAAATCACCGTAATTCAATAGCTCTAAATCTGTGCACTTTATGAAAGTTACCTGATGTTCCTGGAAAAGAGCTGGCCATCTTTCCTGAATGAAGCACAGAATATTACTTACTTCCATTTTGAACATCTTAACATATGGTGCTACCACTTCATCAGTTTCTGATCCTTCCTTACCTATGAAATGAAGTTAAAAACCCTCTCAAACACTCTGTCACTAATATCTTTGTAATAATTTGTAACAATTAGCTATTAGCCGAATCAGCACTGTGCTTGTTGTAGTGGACCTAAATTTATTAGTTATGCATTTTAATAAATTTATGAGAATTGATACCCAATTATGAATTATTATTCATAAAATCAGAATTTCCTCGTAAAGGGCACCACCGGAGTTGTTATAATCCTAGAGTCTCCGGACCTCTAGGTAGTTTTGAATAATTATACAATTATTACTAGTGATCAGTTAGTTAATAATCGCTCAATTATCTTAAATCAGTCAGTCAGTCAGTCAGTCTCATATCGAAAGGGTAAATTCTCTTGGCAGGAACTATAAATAGGCAACACACACAGCTCTTGATTATATTACAGTGAATTTATTCTCTAACTAAGATGGTTGGATACAGGGAACAAACATTTGCTGAACAATGAGCCTGGAGGTTCGATTGTGGGAAGCATTCGACTCATACGGCATAGAAGAACTAATGAAAGTAAACTAATGCTATAGTTTAGGAGTTAAAATAGACATCTGATCACAGGACGTGTGTTAAGTCTTACTGCTTGTCGACAGCCTGCTTTATGCCTGTTGCACGGGTCCCACGCTAGCTGCCGATCCTGGCTTTTTGCTAGGGATTGTCCGGGGTTCTCCGTGTCTGATTGAAAACGCCTCCTCCGTCTGGCAATTCGGCTGTTTGCAGGTTTCCTTGGTTGTAGCTGGCGAGACCACGTGGCTTGGTCTGACCTCGGTGAAGTTGGCTTGACGAAAAAGGCTTAAATGGAACTTGGTCGTTCCTGAATTAGTCCAGTGTAACTTAATGGACTCATCACTTTAACAAACAAAAGAAATAAAGAAAATAAAACAAACTGAAGGCAGATCGATGTCTCGGCACTTCAGGTGTGTAGCTTCAGGCGAACAAAGGCCTGTTTGTTTCGCTGGCCGAGTCTGGGCGTGTTGCCTGGCGAGGCACGCCACGCGCGTGCCGAAGCATCCAGAGGGCAGAGTGGAAGAGCGAGAAGAGGGAAGAGACTGGCGAGCAGGTCGCGTGTCGCTCTTTTGTTGCCTGGGGCGTGGTTCCCCAGGGGGCGTCTCAGGTTTCCCCAGGGACTGCCTTTCCAAACTTAATGTCTAAAGAAAACAAATCTATTTGCACGTATTATAATCAAATATTTTCCACAATCGAACCTCAATGGTTGAACGGTTGTACTGTTCTAGGCATTTGGTAACAGGAAACAATTGTCACATTATTGGTCAGTATTTTTACACATTTAACGGCATTTCCGACGAGGGCATGTAATACTTATTTCGTCCACTTGGGGGAGCTCAGGTTACATGAGGAAAGCTTGGATTAAATCAAAGATCGTCTCTCCTTAGGGACCGGGGAATATTGTTGATTCATCCTTAAATTCAAGCTGGCGATTAAGAGTATAGTAAAACATTTCTTTGTCATCATTTAAAAGGGATTTTGTAAGAAAGTATTATGAACAAGCATTGATTACATCAGATGAAGGAGTGTCTTGCTGAAAATAAAAACACTGCACAAGTAACTTCTTTTCAGCACCAATATCAACAACAGATAGCAGCAACAGTTAACATAACTATTCAAATAGAGGCAAACGTATTCAGGTAACTAAAGATTTAATTAAATTTAATTAGATGCTTTGAGTCTTTTGGAGAATGCAGTCCTTTGTCATCCAAAGTTCAGTGTCTGGAACATGTCACACTTAGGTGAGACAAGGAGTATCCTTTTGATGTGGTAATAAACAAAGAATAAGGTCAGTTTCCACGGAAACGTGTGTGGTGGGGTAAGTTTTGATAGGCTGTTCAGGGAGATGCCAATGGCTGGCTCGTGTCCCTTTGTCAGTTTAACAGTCAGGCCCCGCGTTATCAGCTTCGGAATCAAAAAGGTGCCAGTTTTATGGTCGGGCTAGCACTTAGAGAAAGCAACTTTGACCCCTCCCCTTCTTCTCTGGGGAGGAGAAAGGAATTTAGGGTAGCTCCACATTTATTCAATGAAAAATGCACAAATCCACACCGTTGTTCACTACATTGTGTAAAATCAAAACACAGCTGCGGTGGATGAGAGACTGAGGAGATTAAATATTGCGCTCTACATGTTTATGCCAAACAGGTGTATTGATAAAGTACTGCCTTGTTTACTCACAAAGGTTTTATTGCACCACGTACTTACACTAACAAGCGTAGCTGTCGTCAACTTCGGTAACGTCAGCTGATCACCTGGCTGACTTTGCTCCGTGTTTGTGTGTGTGCAACTGTGTGTGAAGCGCTCTGCAGAGACAGAGGAGGGGAGAGAGGCTGCAGGTCATCCATCCTCACTGTTGAGCCCTAGCTCTCTCTTTAGCTACTTCCAATAGTTTACTTTTGTTGTCATAGCCTTTACTCCGGATGTGGCCCACAGGGCGCCAATTGAATAGGGCTGCTATAAAGAATCCCTTGCTCAACATAAGTTTACACTTGTCGGGACATTTCTCCCTGCAACAACTCTAACTTATTGATCTTATGTAGATACTGTTGAAAATATTTCAGTCTAGTTTATGTTGTATTCAGTTGTATTAAGTTAATCAACATGAATTTATTGCTATACTGGAAAATTCTCGTTTAATTCTCGTTAAGTCTCGTAAGTGTTAAAACTTATAGGAAGCATAATGCCAGAGCAGCATACTACTCGAGGAAAATAGGAACAACCCCAGGTTTCTTTTCAGCACTGTAGCCAGGCTGACAGAGAGCCACAGCAAACAGTAGTTACGACTTCATGAACTTCTTTAATGATAAAATTCTAACTATTAGAGACAAAATTCACCAAGACCTGCCCTCAACTGGCACCAACTTATCTCCAAACTCAGGAACCTTAGAAACAGCTGTAAAAACAGATTTATGTTTAGACTGCTTTGCTTCCCTCAATCTTTGCCATCTAACTTCAATAATTTCTTCATCTAAACCATCAACCTGCCTCTTAGACCCCATCCCGACTAGGCTGCTTAAAGATGTTTTACCCTTAGTCAGCACCTCTATACTAGATATGATCAATCTATCTTTATCAACAGGCTATGTACCACAGTACTTTAAAGATGTGGTATTATGCTCATTTTCAGGTTCAAAATCTATTTGTAACAAAACAGATTTACATGGTTTAATTTTCAAAATACTGCACATTGCTGCAGCTCTTCTTTTCACCCTGTGTGTTGTACGCTCCGCTCTTGAGCTACAGAGTGATGCATCTTACTTGTACAAAATCTTTGTTGGGAGTTGCACATGCGCAGCTCCCAGGTAAGGAATACTAGCCAATCAGAAGCAGAGAAGGGCGGGTTGTAAGAAACAAGGTAGTGTGATCCAAATCAAAGCCGCTTCAGACTGCGACCGTAACCTAGCAGATGGTATCAGTTACTCACAAGTCCACAACCACACAACATCATTGTTCCACGTCTTACCATAAACCACAACTAAAATTTTTCAACTCAATTTTACAGAAAGATTGGCCAAACAATTTGAAAGTTTGCTCAGTAGCTTTCACATCAGGTGTAACATTAGCATTATAGCTATAACTTTAGCTGTGTTGGCCAACGTTTACAACAACTCCGCACTTACAGTCTGTGAAGTTACATTGCCGTGTTTATTTTAAATATAATTCACAACCGATAAAGCATACTTACAGGTTGTGATTGTGAATTTCCAGGCCCAAACAGAGTAGCATCGTCTTTTAGGACTAAACATTGAACTGTTGCCGGTTTTCTGATGATCTACTGTATGCTGCCTTGCCGAAAAATGCTACCATAGCGCAAATCGATGAGAAGCTGACACACCGTCATGCTATCAAACTCGTGCCGGCAGTACAGTGCTCTGTAGAGGAGGCCAGTTTAGCAGTTGGAGAGGTGGTGGGCTGTGGTAGCGTGAAGTCTGCCTCCCGCATGAAAGGAGCCATTGTTTATTTTTGGACAGCACGGCCAAAGTTAGGGATGTGATCGAAATTGGTGAAGTTATTCATGACACTTTCACTCCCATTCTCCCGCTGGTTAGTCCGGCAAGAAAGATCGTCAATTCTAATGCCCCCGTTCATTAAAA